GGGATGCAGGGTCTTGTGAGGAGGATTTACTTACCTTTGGCTAGTAGGGAATGGAAGAATGGTAGTAATAGTAAGTAGTTAAAATTGTACCCCATTCTTCCATTCCCTACTAACCAAAGGTAAGTTTAGGATCGAAGGTTTCGGCATAGGGCCTTGGGAGGTATTCTTCTGCCTTGATTGGGGGAAGCGGACAGAGTCGCATCATTTGAAAAGGTACTACCCGTATCACCAAGAGGTCCTAACCTTACCCAGACCCCCGGGAGGATCTAGAAAGTAGTAGATCCCCTAATTTGGGGCCCTATACTACTAAGTGCTTTATAGGAACCCCCATTAAGGGATCTAATTTTTGGATCCTCCCGGGGGGTCTGGGTACCTCATGGCATCAGGACTTTCGAGCTTTGCAGCTGAGAACAGTCGCACTAACGCGGAGCTCTGAGCGCTTTTGTAGCCACCAGGTAGGGTTGACGGAAGAATCCCCGGCACGAAATTGATGACAGCCCTGAACTCTAGGGTTTAGGGTTTAGGTTCTGATTCATTTCATGAAAAGGCCGCAAGACCCCAAACGCCTTAATTACACCTACCTGTATCTAGTTTTTCCATTGTAGAGCCCTTTTCATAGGATCCGAAAAAGACCCTCAAGGCCTAACCCCTGACCCCTAAACACTAATTTCTAAAAAACAGCCGCAAACTTAATGAAAACCCTATAGACCCTACAAACCCTCCCTTAACTATGAAACCCGAAACCCTATAAGCCTTGAGAACCCTAAACCCTAAACACAAAAAGCCCTCGACCCCAACAGGGCCGATTTCGACCCGAACTCTCGGGTCTCTCTGTGGCCCTCGGCGCTACCGTGGGGGTTTTGGCAGACGAGGCCATGGCCCGGGGTTTCGGTTTTTTTGGGTAACAGGGGTTTAGGGCCATGTCCACTCCATAGGATTCCTCTTCTGTTGCTTTGTAGAGTGTTATCTTGAAAACGCCGTTGTTGATTATAGTTGGTAGTGCTGTTATCATGGTTGTTGTGATTATTAAATCTGGCTTTGCAACGAAAACAGGGGAACTCGGTTTTGGAGTTTCAGGAGCAGCAGTTCCAGGGTTTGGGATTTTAGAGTTTAGGGTTTTAGGGCTTTAGGGTTTTAGGGTTTTAGGGTTTGGGGGTTTAGGGCTTTAGGGCTTTAGGGTTTAGGGTTTTAGGGCTTTAGGACTTTAGGGTTTTGGGGTTTTAGGGTTTGGGGTTTAGGGTATCCTTCCATCACAAACACGATAGGAGGTTCTTCCCTTGAAGACTTAGGCCGCCAGGGTTCGTCGTTTGTTTCTGATAACGGGTATTGTTCTCTGAGGGCCTTCTTGGTTATCTGGTTTGGTTTCCTTTGTTATCTGTTTTGGTAAGGGTTCTTAAGGTTGCGTAGAGGGTTTTGCGGGGGCCCCTACAAGTCATCATACGGGCATTATGTGGTTTAGAAGGGGTTTGCAGGGTCTGGCTTGCTTGAAGAAGGTTTCTACAACCTTGGTGCCTTCCTTAGTATACACGGGCTCTTGGGCAATTTCGGTCCTGCTATCCCAGGTCTGGGACTTTTTGGGTAAGGGATTCAGGATTGAGAGGGTTTGGGGCATGGGGGTTGAGGAATCTGACTGTTGCAGTTTAGGTGTGTCGGGGTTAAGGGGAAGATTTGGGCGAGAGATGTTTCGATTTGCAGGGTTTTGGCGCAAAGGGGGTAGGTAGAGTATACACATGCCCATGTACTTTTTCTTACATATGCCCTTTTTGGATCCTTAATATAGTGGGGCATCTAATACTTAGGGTACCCAAAAAGGGACCCTATTTTTGACAACTACCCATATATACACACATACCCAGAGGGTCCATATGTACTCCTATGATGGAATTAGGTCCCCCAAAACCATTATTGGGATGGTCTCTTGGGGCCGATTTCCATATTGGTAGTGCATATGGACCCTCTAACCCTAAACCCTAAACCCTAAACCCTAAACCCTAAACCCTAAACCCTCTTGGATCCATGTCTCGCTGCCTAGGCTATCCGCCGCGATGTGGTCCCCAGAGTCGCTGCCGCCACGACGAAGCTCGTGGAATCCGAAGTGGTGAAGCCGGGCTCCGCAGTGATTTTCATGAAAGGTTTAGGGTCTGGAATCTTTACGGTTTAGGATCCAGGGTTTAGGGTTTAGGATTCAGGGTTTTCGGGAGTAACATGGTTTGGGTGCCTGATCAACTTTAAATAAAAAGTCACCATGACAGTTTCACTTACCCCAACACCCTTGTGAAACTCTTCAGTTCCTCAACTAGGCTCCGGGTCTTAGGGTCAGAGCTTTCCAAGCGCCTTGAGCAAGAAGCTCGAAACAGCCAGCCACGACCTCTTGTGTTCTGCCTGATATATTTCCCATTTTTCCGGCTGTTTGCTATCAGGCTCGCATGATGGATGCAGGTGGACCTCTGTCGGATCCAGCAGAGGCTTTGTGCTAAGTCTCCTAGAGGCTAGAGGCATTATACGCAAAACCCTCAACCAAAACCCTAAACTGTAAACCTTCTTTCCTCAACCCTTACTGCTCTAAGTCTTGAACTCCAGACCCTAAATCCTAAACCCTAAACTGTGATGCTCATGAGCCGACGGAGACATGGAGGAGATACAACAGACCTGCGGCACCGCGAACTGTTCATTCGACCTTATAAGGGGGGATGACAAGAAGTCTTCAGACTTATCAGAGCACTAAGCATCTTTAACAAGCATCTCGTGCCCGAAGCTGTCGGAAGGAGCTTTCCCCAGACTTGGAGATTCTGTGGCGTAGTTATGATTGGGGTTTATAAGTCCCCTAATCTAGCTACCCAGGAACCTCCAAGCATGGATCATGAAGATGAGGAGGTAGTGTGACGTACCAGGCAGGCTCAGAGGCGGCCGGGCAATCCGCCAGCTCCAAGAAAACCGGAGCAACAGCAAATGCCGTTGAAGAAAAAGCTGACGAAGCCCGAGCCCTCTGGGCTTCACAGCCACCCACACTCAGACTGCATCTATCAGACAACCATCCACCACTCAGATAGCATCGTGTTGATCTGTTTCCACACACCACATGCACCCGAGCGCTGAGCCCGAAAGTCCAGTTTGAAGCTTGGGAAAAAGATGTGGAGGACTCCCTGTGGGCTCAGTCCGAAGCCTGGAAGGGATTATGAAGAGCGAGCTATCGTTGGGTTTGGGCTTTAGATGTAGGGTTTAGGATTCAGGGTTTAGGGTTCGGGTATCCCCAAATCCTGAAACTGGAAACGGTAACCGGTAACCCCCCCAGACCCCAAAATCCTACCGTCCTACCTGTAAACAAGCCCCAAAACCCCCCAGCAGAAGGGAGCTAAGTGGGTTCCAAATTTTCGTCAGGGTTGGGGCTTGAGGGTTTTTGGGGTGTGAGGTTTAGCCTATGTGGGGCTTTAGGATTCGGGGTTTAAGATTATAAGGTTCATTGTAGGATTTGAGGTTTGGGTGTTGTCGGGTTCAGTACGCGGACCTGTGAGGTAGGCACCGCACGCCGAAGAAAAGGGCTGATATCCAGTCAGTGCCAGAAACCTTAAACCCTAAGCCCCAAGCCCTATACCCCATTCGGAAGAAGGCGTTCGAAACAAAGTTCAAGCCCGGTATCGGTGCTGACTGACCGTACCTATAGTCTCCATTGTAGTTCCTTTTTGTGGGTCAACCAAAATCTCTATTATAGGGTCCTAACCATAAAACTGGTTAACCAAAAAGAAGGAACTACAATGGAGACTATAGATACTAGGATCCATGACTGACCCCCTAAACCCTAAACCCTAAGCCCTAAACCCTAAACCCTAGAATCCTTCGCCCTGCAGGGCGCGGCAACTTGTCCGACGATTGCGGAGCGGTCGCCAGCCAAGGCAGCGGGATTGGGTTTTGAGGCTTTCGGCTTAAGGCTTGGGGGGTTTCAGCGTTTAGGGTTTAGGGTGCAGGGTTTAGGGTTTAGGGTTACCTTAACCCTGAATAACCTACCCTTTTAGGGTTCCTTATTATGATTTCCTTGTATATAAGTCCTTAAATATGTAGGTTATTCCGGGTTAAGGTAGGGTTTAGGCTTCAGGGTTTAGGGTTTGGAGAGCTGCTTTCGATTGCGGTTTCATGGCTCGGGTTGAAAGGTTTCAGGATCGTAGCCCCGACACTGGGACCTGGTACATTGAAGTATTAGAGGGTCAGAATATGTAGTAACGGTATCCCCTCATAGTCCGTATATGCATGTGTGTACCTACATACATGGGTATTTGGATTTAAGCATAGTGAGATACACCGTCAAGCCCTAGTGACATCATTAAGGCCTTGCATTGAACCGGTGTGGTTTTGTAAAGCCCTTACAGAGACCTAGTCCAAGAATTAGAGCGGTTCGTCCACTGGGTTTAGGGTTTTGCACTAATCCCTAAACCCCTAAACCCCTAAACCCCTAAACCCCTAAACCCCTAAACCCCTAAACCCCTAAACCCCTAAACCCTAAACCCCTAAACCCCTAAACCCCTAAACCCTAAACCCTAAACCCCAAACCCCTAAACCCCTAAACCCTAAACCCTAAACCCCGAAGCCCTAAACCCTAAAGGGGTTCTAGGATCCAGGCTGCCTCAGGCCTTTTGGAGGGCCGAGGCGTGTTAAAAAACTAAGCTCTGGACCGCCTTACAGACCCGCTGCTAGATCCCTTAAAGGGAACTCCAGAAAGTTGGAATATGGATGAATGGTAGGATCCCCTATAATTTACCTTAAAGGGGTCACGATAATGATATTCCAACTTTCTGGCTTCTACTGTAACTGAACCCTTCAGGGAACCCTAGGCCCTAAACCCAGAGAGCTTTGACCTCTAGTTCTTGAGGCACTCAGTTTTATAGGCTTAGTTTGCGGATCGGGGGCTTGCAGCCCCCATGCCCTAAACCCTCAACTGGTAGACTAAGCCCTGAATCGTAGGCCATGAAACATACAGCCCGTAACTCGCTAGAAGCCACACCACCCTTATGGTACCCGTATGGTACTTTGCTCTCGTAGAACCCCGAAGCACCTACAGGCACTTGACAAACCAAAGGTGTACCCTAAACCCCAAACCCTACACACTAAACTGCCATGTGGTATCCTCTGCCAGGCCTGTCGTGGAGGAAGTGCCGGAATTGCCAGAGCCTCACCACGGCAGCCGCTTCGCAGGCAGGAAACCGTATGGCATGAGGGCAGCATAAAGGTTCCTTCATAAGGCTTGTATACGGGGCCTGCACGGAATGTACAAGTGTTCTTGAAACCCTAAACCCTAAACCGCAAACCCCTAAAACCCTAAACCCTAAACCCCTGAACCCTAAATCGCATTTAGAATGCAAAGAAGGGCAGAAGGTCTCCTGTCCGGCAGATGAAGACTGGACACTGCCCAGAACCATAGCCCTCTCAACTCGGAGCCCGTGGGTTTAGAGTTTAGGGTTTAGGGCTGTCAATTCCTCATGACCCTTGAACTCGAGAACTCCAGAAAAACTGCCTTGTCAGGCTTAGCAACCCGAAAATCCCACACCCCAAACCCTGTACTCAGCCCATCGAAACTCCATGCCCTAGGACCTAGAGTAGGCCCTTATTCCCTTTTTTAGGGTTCAGGTTCCCTTATAAGCCCCTTTAAACCAAAAAGGGCACCCTTTTTATTCCTAGGTTATCTAGCCCTTTGCCTCCCTAAGTGCCAGACGTTGGTTCGAACCAAGAAATCACCACCTGCAAGGGCTGGTTGCCCTGGGCTTCGCTTCCTTCCTGCTTGTCAGAAGACGCGCAGGCAGCGTGAGCTTGAGCGGTTTCGGTATAGAGTTCTCGGATCAAGGCCTGACGGGTTAGCGATTTCCTACTCTCCGAATTCCAGGACGTGCCATATGAAATTTGAAGTTTAAAAGCTTCGGAGTTGAGTCTGCGGCTTATCACCACCGCTGCCACCACCGCCGCCGTCACCACCGCCGCCGCCGCCACCGCCGCCACCGCCGCCTCCGCCGCCGCCGCCACCCCCGCCACCACCACCACCACCACCACCACCACCACCACCACCACCACCACCACCACCACCACCACCACCACCACCACCACCACCAACACCACCACCACCACCACTACCCACACCACCACCACCACCACCACGATCCTCGTCGTCGTCATCGTCGTCATCCGTTCTTACTCTTATTCTTATTTGCGATTTTGAATCCTATTCTGATTATTATTCGTATTATTGTTCTTATTCCTAGTCTTACACGTGCTCTTATTCTTAATCTTACTCGTAGTCTTTGTTCTCATGTTTGTTCGTCGTCGTCATCGTGCTCATTGCCATCATCGTCATCGTCTTCAATGCCGTCATCGTCATCATCACCACCATCACCACCGCCACCACCATCACCACCATCATCATCGCCGCCGTGATCACCAACATCTGCAACATAATCTTCCTATGTACATCATCACAACCGTCATCCTGACAATCATCATCACCACTACCATATCATATCATATCATATCATATCATATCATATCATATCATGTCATATCATATCATCATCATCATCATCATCATCATCATCACCATCATCATCATCATCACCATCATCATCACCATCACCATCATCATCATCTTTCCGTCAAGTTGCTGGAGCTTGACCGGAAAAAGTGGCATATCGGCCAAGTGAAGTTGGACAACTACTGCTGGCAGACTTGAGCCAGACTGAAACTCAATCAAGTGTTATTCCGGCAGCAATGTTTTGAGATTGCTTCATCGCCCAATGCTGCTGACAGCCCGAGAGCCGCCACCAAAGCAACCTAAACCCTACCTTAACCCTGAAGAACCTACCGTTTTAATTGAGGGCTCCCTATTAAAATGTCCTTATGCAAGTCCTTAAAAAGGTATATAGGTTCTTCAGGGTTAAGGTAAACCCTATCTGAGGTTTGGGCCTTGTGGCTTTGGGTCTAGTGCGCAGTTTTTTAGAGTGCGGAGATGAGGCAGAGCTGTTTCTCACAGCTCAAAACTTAGACCCTAAACCGCAGAAGCCATGTAGTTTGTTTAGCTCAACACTCAATATCCCCTGAACCCCAAAACCCTAAACCTTAAACCTTAAACCGGGCTAGATTTTTCGGTTCTGGGGTTGATGGATCCTGGCCCTAGAGCCGCCTTGCTGAAGCCATGGGAGCATACCCCATGTAGATTTCCTTAAGCTTCAATGATAACTGCTGTTATTGTTGTTAGTATTACTCTTATCGGTCTATTCTTAGTCTTGTTGTTATCAGGGTGAGGTATCTGGTGAATATTAGCAAGTTCATGCTGCATGTGCGCTGGCAAAGCGGTTTCATGTCGAGGATTGGTGTTTTCACCTTCGGATCAAAGGTTTGTTGCTGGGCGCTTGTAAAGCCAATGCAAAACCCCGTGCAACCCTTCAAACCCCTTATAGGTAAAACCATATGAAGAACCCTAAACCCTCGTACCCCCCCCGTCGAGAAGTGAAGGGATGCCTCAAACCCTAAACGTATCGCACTCGAGGCTTATAAAAACAGAATCCCTTTTATTGTTTAGGGTTTAGGAGCACGCTTGAAAACCCTGTAGATACATGTATACGCACATACATGTATACACACATACATGTGTAGACACACACACACACACACATGCAGATCCGTCCGTGATCAGGCAAGTCTGACTCTTCCCCCGCGGCCGAAGCCACGGCGACCTCGGTGCCATTCTCAGAGATAGCGCTGCGACTTTTCAGGGTTGAAGGTTCAGTGGATCAGGTGAGAGTGTTTTCGGGTTCCACAGGGCTTATGCGGTTTTTCCGTTTATAGGAACCCTAAACTCTAAAGCCTAAAATAAACCCTGGGCTTGAGAGTTGTCTGGTTGGTGTCGGGTTCCTGTGGGTGAAGGGGCTCGACCGGACTCACCGGACTGTGCCATGGATTCACGGAGTTGTATGTGGTCTGCAGCCCCTAAACCCCAAACCCTAAACCCTAAACCCTACATCCTGAACCCGAAGCCAGAAATCCTAAACCCGAAACCCTAAACCCTAAACCCTATGCCTGGCTTCTTGAGGGTTCTGGGGAAAAATGGTTTTGTTTCGAGCGTGCGGGTCCATTGCTGCGATTGTCGAGACTTTCGGCAGTCTGTTTGGGATTCGTGCCTGGGTTTAAAATATAGGGTACCCACTTGTTGCCCGCCTTTCGGTCGGTCCAGGTAGGCAGCAGCGCCCGGCCGTGTGCTGCTTCCGCCTCACAGCCCTGCTAAATAAGGGAATTCCGACGCGCATGCACGTGGACCTCAGCAGAACCTGCAAAGCAGGAGTCGGATGGATACTTCCGAGGCAGCTTTTGCAGGAGCGAAGTTCTTTGTTCGAGCCTTTGCGAGGTTGAACATCCGAAGTCCAAGATCTAGCTTCTTGACCCTAAACCTAAACCGTCTAAACCCCAAGCAATTATACCCTATATAAACTCTAAACCGTGGCTAGAGGCTCGATGGTGGGTAGAAAGAACCGATAATGGCTCTTCTGATCAGGAACCTACACACTACTACCACTGCTGTTCTTGTTGCTGAGGTTGATGATGATCAAAAAGAACCAATAACGATTCTTTCGAAACCCCTAAACCCTATAACCCTAAACCCCGAATCCCTAAACGCTGAACCCCAAAATCCGGAGCCTTAAACCCACAGCCTTGAACCCCAAGCCCTAAACCCTGCATGCACATGCCGATGTCAAAGGCGAAGAGGCCGAAGTCGAAGGCAGCTCCTCCCCCGCCTCCTCCCAGGCAGCTCAGGGGTCGGGTTTTGGACTTTAGCAGAATGAATAGAATAAAGCATGTTACATTACTATGCTCTTACACAAGACAATACAATATGTTGCATAACATACTGAGGATCAGGTAATGCATCGTAATATGATAGAATATCAGGGCCGTTTAAGGTTGAAGGTATTGGATGTTTAGGGTGAACTGGTCAGGAGTTGGGCTTACGGAGGCTTAGGATTTTGGTGTATGGGTCGAGGGTGCACACCCCCACCCGCACCCACACCCGCACCGGCACCCGCAGCAATGTGCCAAAGCAAGCGAAACCCTGACCACCCTCGAACCCAGAGCCTCTCGACGCAAACCCCAACTTGCAAAGCTCCCTACATTGGTTTCCCCCTAAGAAAGTACAGAAAGGACCTGAATCTTTCTTCCACGCTTTCAATCCTCCTAGAACCACAAAGCCCAGCCGAAGCGCTCCACTTAGAGGCCCAGGCTCAGGGGACTTAGTCAGTAAATTATAAGTATATAAGATCAAATTTGAGACAGCCCCAGTCAATGTATCTAGAACCCGAATTCGAACCCACTTACCAGATCCCCCGATCCTCGAAGCCTAAGCCATAAACCCTTACACCCTAAACCCTGAGCCTCCACTAGAACCGACCTTACTCGGTCCCCTCATCCCTTCATATGCCAGGGGCAAGGGCATGCCCAAGGCGCTCCTTCGAAGAACACATTTTGGGGAGGGAGGGTTCGAGGTGTAGAGCTAGCCAGGGCCTGCAGTGTAATGCTTGGGGTTGAAGGTGGTAGGGTTCAAGGTTTAGGGCTTTAAGGGTTCAGGACTAGGCCGGGTGTAGGATTTAGGGCCTCTAGGGTTTGGGTTCAGGCTTGACAGGGCTGAAGGCCCGAAAACCCTGCAGGTAAACTGCAAAAAGGCACTGTAACTGGAAATTGAGACGGCTGACGAATGAAGCGCACGGCATTCGCTTACAGTCTTTAAATGGTCACAGTTTAATTTGCTTCAATACCCCCATTCTATGTGTTAGGTCTCTTGTCTTAGTAGCACCCCATCGCTTTTGCACAGTCTGATAGTGTTGGGACCTTCACAACAGGTAGGCACATCTTCCAAAACGATTAGCTGCGGTTCTGTGGGGGGATCGGTGGTTGTGTTGCTATGGTCTGCGCTACTAGAGCAGGGGAATTGGCAAGCAAGGAGGCTCAGGAGATCTCATAGTGGTGCCACCTGCACAAAACACTTCACAGAAGGCGGCTAGTAATTTAATAGCATCGATCCGTCAGTCGGTCGGTCAAATGAATCTGTCAGTTGTCCTTCGTTCAATCAGACAGTCAACGTGTATGTACAATGCCTGCCTGCCTGCATGCCTGCCTGCCTGGATGGATGGATGGATGGATGCACATATGCATGTATTTATGTATTTATGCATTTATGTCTGTCTGTCTGTTTGTATGTGTGTATCATGCATGCGTGTACGTGTACATGTTTTTAGGTTTGTACGTTGTCTTATCGGTGCCCTAACTCAATTATACAGTGTTTGTTTAAGGATTCCTTAAAGTGTTCCTTTGCAGGGCTTACATAAGAGATCTGTATGGGTACTATACTACAACTAGTCAGAGCAAGATTTTGGGACATATATATATATATATATATACACACACACATAAGTATGTTCATACTACGAAATCTCAAGGACTTCTATAGCAAACCTTCAGCCCCTCATGGAAGCCTACAGACTAAGTAACACGAGGGTGCATAGGGTTTACGGCTCAGGGCAGGATTTGACACTAAGGCACTGGCTAGAACGGCACAACCCCCGGAGCCAAACCCTCGGTGCGAAACTACTCCCCCCGGCTCAGCCCGGCTTTGCCAGACAAAACTCTAAACCCTATACTTGGAGGTTCAGGGGTAGTTATTTGTGGGGTTATAAGTCCCCCTAATATGGGTTAATTATAAGTATAGTTACCCTAATTATAAGCCTTCTTCTAACTACCCATGAACCTCCAAGTACCCGGAAGATCCCTGTAAGCCGAAGCCCTAAGCCATAAAGCAGACAGCCCAAGTCTGAAATCCGTGTAATCCCGAATCTTTGTAATTCTGCGTAGACGGAAAATTGCGTTAAACGAAAGAAGCCTGAAATCCCTGGAGCCAGGTGGCCCCTCGCCCCAAGGCAGCCACGGCAGACGAGGCCAGGGTAGGGTTTGGGGACATCTTGTGAGGCATTTTCACGGTGGTGGGTCGCGGACAAAACAGGGCACAATGTACGGTTGCAGGCCGGAGTTTGGGAATTTGGCCCATGGTTGCGCGATTATCAGAGTGAGATGGACGCGTGAGGGAAGACAACGTCCGGCGAATTGGTGTATAGTTGTGGCTCGGTGAAAGGAATGCTGTTGAGTTTCAGGCTGCGGGTAAAGAAGCCCTGCGCAATACCGTGCTTCGAAAGCTTGGGATTTACGATTGCAGGTGTTTCCGTTGTAGTTTTGAGGGAATCCTGGGTTTGAGAACAGAAATGGTTGGGCCGGGAGCCATCTCCGCTGGGCTGCGTGCTGAGTGGCGCCAACCCTTGCGTTTCAGTCTATAGGGGCCCGAATAATTACTTATGCTATTTTGGGGGTTCCTAATGGACCCCCAAACCCTATTCTAGTAATTAAGGCCCCTATATCATGGAATGTTAGTTAGGTGTCTCTATCGAGTAGATACTGGGGCAATCTTGCAACAGAGTTGCGCAAAGGACCTTACAGTAGCTAAGGGTTTGGCCACCGGGCTGCACTGATGTCGCTTGAGGGTCTATGCAGGCGTCACCCTTCCCCATAAACCTGCAGCGGTTGAAAAAGCCCTCGCTTAGACTCTCATACTCATACCGCAATAAAGCTCTTGTACGATGCTTCTTTAAACCCTAAACCCTAAACCATCTCAGGCGTTCTTGAGCCCGCGCTCTGCTGAACTTGCCCGGTTTGGCAAGAGGACACCGATGCGAGATTCGTGAATCAGTATCGGGTTTGAGTAGGGCGTGGGGTTCAAAAGGGCTTGCAGTTTTGTCTATCAAAGGGTGTTGTTGGGTGTGGTATCGAATGGAGATGTTCAGTGCAGGTCATATGAACTTCAGATCTCATGCGGGTCGGGAGATGCCTTACATCGACGGTGTACAGTGCAGAGAAGTTGTCAGATTTCAGGTCAGCAGTCAGCGTTTAGAGCTGGGCTCAAAGATTCCGATAACTTCCACACAAACCCTTAAAGCCTTAACTGTTAACCCTAAGCAACCCCTAAACCCCGACAAGGGACGTTTAACGCTGTGCCGTTTATGTAGCGGATAGGAGGAACCCTGGTGTCTGGAAGTTGAGAGGTCTCGGAGGGTATATCCCAAATCTCCAAACATTACACCCAGAGCAGGCCAGGCAGCCCGTAGTTGCATGGCAGCTTCAGAAACCCTAAACCCTGAACCCTAAACCAGCCATCGGGAGCCTGCCAAACTCAGAGAGAGCCCTATGCAAAGTAGGAAGCGCACCAAGTCTTTCACGACCTTGTGTCAAACCTTGTCAACCACTGAAGGGCCACAACGATCCCCTGGCATCCTACGTTATACTCTCCAAAGTCATTCCTTACTAGCATAGCCAAATATACATCCAGCATCTCCGAAAACTCAAGTACAGTGCCCTAAACCCTTAACAGCAAAATCAACATAGTAGGGAGCCCTAACCCCCCCTTCCTCCAAAAGCATGAAAGCTGTGTTCCTTTGTGAGGATTCATTGGGTGAAGCCCAGCTGCGAGGCGATCCAAACCATCCTATTGAGACAATAGCGCAATCGTATCTGAGTACCATTAAGTTGTAGGGTTTAGGAGTTGGAGTTTTTGGTTCGGGGGTTCAGAATTTTGGAGTTTAGGGTTTAGGGATCTGGGTTTAGGGTTTAGGGCTCAGATTTCCTACCTGAGCACTTGAGGGAGTTCCTCTTGGAGCAATGGCCTGTCTGACTGTATGATGGCCTGCTACTGTTGGACCAGTCGTATTCAAGAGAGGAACACGATTGGACTTCTTTGTCATTCAATTGAACTACTGCTCGTTTGGTTTTTGGCAGCTCTTCGTAACTATAGGTAGTCTTGTCTTGTGACTATCACAGCAACATGTTGATGCTCCTCGGTTACTTACTTCAAGTTTCACGCCTTCGGTTGCTTGGATCTGCTGTGCCCAGATTATGTCGACTGTGCTTCTTTCAACTTGCGGTAAATTTCAGGTGTCTTCCGGGCGACTTGAACCCTCAAGCCTACATCGTCACCCTGCCGCTTCAACGCTTAAGGTAGAAGCCAGATGGAATATGGTTTCAGGGTAGGATACCTTACAATTTACCATAAAGGGTTTAGGATAATCATATTCCAACTTTCTGGCTTCTACAGTATATGGCATTATGGGATGTTCGCACTCCTTGGTCGCTTGGTTGGAGTTGTGACGTTGTCATCCGGGCTTCCATTGGGTAGTTATCGAAAGCAGGGTCCCTTTGCGGGTCCTGTTTATGAGGGTGACGTATGATTTTGAGGACCCAAACAGGGACCCTTATTCAGAGACCTACCACCATGCAGGCAGCAAATGTCGGTCGCGCCTGTTGATTCGTGAATCTACAGTCATCGCAGTTGTTGGGGCAGGTTCACAGGCCATGAATGCACACATCAAGCTACCCTAACCGAGCAGGGGCGTAGTTTACCGCTGCCATTGGCCATTGATATCTTAGTTGAGACGTCTTTTCAAAATCTTCCATGGGGGCGCCGTCAGTGCCATGCTGCCACAACAACTGGAGACGCAACTGGGCAATCCCCACTGTCGTCTTGCAGTTCCCCGCGGCGTTGAAGACCCCGTGCCAACTGAACACCCGAAGGCCTTGTTGGAGGTTGCAGAAAGAGACGAATTTGCCAATCTGTGGGTTAACTTCGCGAGTAAGATGCAGGCTTCGCGGCCAGGAATACTGCATGGTGTGCGCGCCTCACAAGTGCTGCATCATCTGCCGTGGGCGTGGCTACGGCGTGATCTGAATTCTTTATATGCTCTTAGCCAGGAGACAGCCAAATTCGACCAGTTTTGGTCCCACAGCTGGAAGGGGGCACTCTGGGCGAAGTACATCAATCTACTCTACCTTCAGACATGCCTTGCAGCAAACATTGCAGGAACGCTAAGTGCAAGTCTCGCCCTTGGGCTCGTCTCGGCCGAGTTTCTGGGAGCCAGAAGTTGCTAGGTGGCAATTTGGGAAACTTTTTCATTTCCCTTATGGTTCCTATAGAGGTACCTATTCATAAATACTTTTCAGAGCCCCAAAAACTACACCCTAAACCCTAAACCCTAAAACCCTAAAACCCTAAAACCCAGGAGGGTTCTGCCTGGTTTTCGGCTTCCTGAGCTTTTGTTTCGCTCCCTGGCTCTGGCGCTCTCGGAGGATTGTGTTTCTCGACATCTTCTGCATCCACCAGAAGGACCAGCAGCTTAAGGCAGAAGCCATCATGAGCATCTGGGATCTTGTTAACGAAGCCAAGTATCTCTACATGTCGTAGTTAAGGGCACCACCCAATATCGGGCTTATAGCAAGTAAGATGCTGTCTTCATTATGGCAGTTGACAGTATCCCAAAGCCTAAACCCAAATCCCCTAAACCCTCGAAGCTCTAAACCATCCCAGGTATGGGTGCCTTCCTGAAGCAGTCCGACTCAATGCTAGTGCTCTGGGATCCCAGTTGGGTGGCGAGATTGCGACCTGGCCGGGGAGTAGGGATGTGGGTTTGGGGATCAGGTTGAAGAGTGAGCTTTAGGGTTGAACGGTTTGCCGATAGGAAGTTCGGGCTTCAGGCCTTCAGACAGGACTTTTGGGCCGTCCCCTCGCACAGCATGTCTCTTTGCCGGACCGGAAGTGATGTAAGGTGGTGCGTCTTCGAAATAGCTGCCTTCCTACATAGCCGCGCGAAAGGCAGCAAGGCAGTTCTACAGATTATTCCTCCCTTACTGGGACCAGCGCTCCTAGGCGGTGAGATATTATTCTGCCTGGCATGTATTGTGTATGCCTACAGCGAAACCGCTCTGGCATCGTCGGAAGATTCGAAATTCTCGGCGGCAATCCATCTTGCTTTCTTTGGAGTTCTTGGCATTCCATGCTCCTTCTTCGTTTCGCACTCCCTACGAGGGTATGCCCGCAGTGTTGAGACTCTGAAAGAGCAGCTCTCTGAGTTCAAGGCTGCAGGCACAAGGAGCGCTTGTTGCGAACAAGGCCATGAAGGTGAAGCTGTTGTTCTATGCGATCGTGAGATTCTTTTCCAGTGCATCGCCCATTGGTATGGTTCGGTGGACGAGTTCGAGACGCAAGTGCAATCCGAAGTGAGGACGGCCCTCACCGATCAGCTTGCAGACAATGCCATATCTTATCAACGCATCTAGGACCCAGAGTAGGCCCTTATTCCCTTTTTAGGGTTTAGGTTCTTTTTTAAGCCCCTTTAACCCAAAAAGGGCACCCTTTTTATTCCTCGGCTACTCTTGGGTCTAGGCATCTTATTGCTTTTCACACCCTACGTCTGGCTCCGCTTTGAGTACGCAGCCACCCACGCGAACGATCCCATCCGGCAGATAGTCGAACTCGCTCGGACGCTCACATACTGGCTGGCAGTGTTCCCCTTCATGAACAAGCTTCTTTTCCGCTTGTGCTACCGCTTTCGAGCCCAATGTTGCATGCTGCGCTGGGACGTTCTTCTTTCGATGCTCATCGTGGTTGCAACGTTCCTGTTCTACTTCATCTGCTACATCATTCAAGTCTATGTCTTTCGGCAAAACGACCATGAACTTTTGCCAAGCGTGATCTCAGTGGTTTCATGGCTGTCTTTCACAGCCATCATGTGGCGACTCACATGAGAGAGATACCTAAGTCGTCAATCCGAGAGCGTTGACCTTAATTCCCGATGTAAACCAGAGCAATAGCAGATGACAAGTGACACGAGGGGCAACAGGCATATGAATGACATCCATCGCTATGATGGTAGAGAGACTGACTGGGAATAGGTAACCATCACGACAAAAAAGACAATACTGTTGGAATAGCACCGGTAGCAAGGCCTGTGCAAGTGCACAATGTCTTGACCTTGTGCAGTTCAACCTTTGTTGCATACAGACAGGCTATAGAAACATAAGTAGGCTTAGGACAGAGCACATATCCATGCGGCATGTATTACGCCTATAGGTACATCAGTCAAGGCAGGGTTAGGTCCCACACTGAAGACTGACAGTGGTCCAGTGGTGATACTAGTCGACATTGACACCACTGCCAGTTGTTCAGAATCAACGGTAGTCATCATCATCTACATCTACATCATCAGCATCATCGTCGTACTCGTAGTCATCATAACCCAAAGGCAGGGAGCTTCGGCATCCATGCATCAACGGGCTTTAGCTATTTAGGTGTCAGCAGTCGGTTGTAAAGCCTTCGCTGGTGTTCCTACATGTGTTGCCCTCAGCCCAGACATTCCCGAGATGCCCTGAGCATCGTGAAACAAGGAGCCTAAAAGAAAGGATCCTTGAAGCGAACTCCTTCAGCCCTCTAAGCCTTGAAATCTCCGCGCCCCCCGAGCCCGAAGCCCTAGATGCCCCCTTTGCTTCTTAAACACTCAACCACTGAACCAAATCCTCAATGCTCATGGCCATAAGGGCCTAAACCTCGACACCCTGTGAGCCATCATGGCCCTGAGGGCCAACGATTTTAAGGCTCCCGGGCATACCGGTGCATCTTGAGACTTCGGAGAGAAGAGCTCGAAGAAAAGAGGTTGAGGGTTTCGGGTGTAGGGTGACCAGTTTGAGTTCGTGTAAAGAGCTCGAAGGAACGATGGGATGATGTAGGAGCCTAAGGGCTAGGGCCAAACAGAGAACTAGGTAGGCGTTTGGGATGTTGAAAAATTTTCCCCTATTGGGCTTAGTAGGACCCTATTTACGAATATTTTCAGAGGCTTTGAAGGGCCAACCTAGGAAAAGGTTCTGGGGAGTGTAGGGCTTGAGAATTTGTGGGTTTGAGGGTCTCAGAGTTTCGGACTTTCGGGTTTGGATATTGGATGATTGTCAAAATTATGGCCCTTTTTGGGGTACCTTAAATATTAGGTGCCGTACTATATTAGGGGCCCAAAAAGGGACCATCATGTTGACAACCACCTTGTGGATTTGGGGTTTGGGGCTTTAGCGCTGCTCGGGTTTGAGGCAGGAAGGGCTTCCAGAGATTTCGGCTCGAGAGGTTTAGACATGTGGGTGGTTGTCAAAATTAGGGTCCCTTAAACCCTAAACCCCAAACCGTGAGTACGGCACCTAATATTAGTAACCCTAACCCTAACCCTAAAACCCTAACCCTAACCCTAAACCTTAAACCCTAAATTGGTACCCCCAAAAGGGGGCCATAATTTTGACAGCCACAAACGTGGGGGGTTGGGGATGTCAGCTCTCGGGGTTTCAAAGTGAGGGAACTTGGGATGTAGGAGTTTCCGAAAATAGGGGGTACCTTATTTAGGGGTCCTTATAATACGGATCCTACTATTTAGGGTGCTTTTGTTAGGGTCCCCTATTTCCGGAAACCCCCATGTAGGGCTTAGGGTTTGGAGGGCCTTTGGGGCCTTTGGGGTTTATAGGGTTTTAGGAGTTTGACATTTAGGCTTTAGGCTTTATCCGGCCTTTAGGGTTTTACAGGGAGTTTATAGGGTTTTAGGATTTGCCGGTTTAACGGCCGCTTAGGGTTTTAGGGTTGTGTAGCCTTTAGTGTTGAGGGTTCCGGGTTTAGGGTGAAGGGACTACGGTTGATGATATATAAATCCTGCATTACCTTAAGAACCCTAAAGTATGGGAATATTGGTAATTATACTCCTTAATTATTTTTTATTGGGCAATGCAGGGTTTATTTCATCAGCAGTGTGAAGGCTATGACGAACCTTGAAAGGAACCCCCTCCCGCCCCGTAAGCCCTACATCGCTAAAGCCGCACAATCCAAAATCCCTATAAAGCCTACAACCAGACCTGTTTCTTCACCTTCGTACTATACAAAGGGAGGGAGAGGCTAAAGCCTTAGTGAGAGGTACTATGCAATCTCGGTTAACTCCCTGTCACGCCCTCTTCAATCCCAGCACATAACTTTAAACCCCATTCAGCCTCGTTCGACCTCCAATGCACTCCTTGAAACCCTGCTGAATTCAATCATAGGGATCCTTAGGGGTGTAGGGGGGAGGGGTGAAGGGGACTATATTTCCTTAAATAGGCCTTATTAGTCCTTATTAGGGGCCTTAAGGCCCCCTACCCCCCCTCCCCCTACACCCCTAAGGATCCCTATGATTCAACCCTATGAAAGGAGCCTCAATGGGCCCTAATCTGGTTGATGATATGAATCCCTAGGGTTCCTTTAAAGGGATCTATAGGGGTACCTTTTAAGGGCTTCCTTTAAGGGATCTACAGGGTTTAGGGTTTAGGGTTGATGATATAAATCCTGCATTACCTCAAGGACCTTAAACTATGGGAATTATAGTATAGTCCCTATTATGGGTAATGTAGGATTTTTATATCATCAACAGTAGATACCCTTACTATTTGGGGGGCTTCCTTATTCTAACTATAGTATACTACTGTATACCCCAAAACCCTATGCCAGGAGCCGCAGCAAGACACCATCTTCGGCGAACTGAAGATGGTCCACACGCAAAGCGAGCAGGAGAGGAAGCCACTCTGGCTCGTTTGAAGGTTTCAGAGCTTCATCTCTTACCGTTCAGGTTTGGCTAGGGGTTTAGGGTTCGCGGGGTCTAGGGTTTAGGGCTTAGGGGTTTCCGGTGTGCAGGGTCCAGGGTTTAAGGTTCAGGGGTCTGCCCTTTCAACTGCCGATGTTGATGGGGCTTGGTTAGTCACTGTTGGTCAGTGTACGGAGTGGTTTTGTGGGATTGGTGAAGAGATTGGAGCAGAGGCCAGCTCAAGTTTGGCAGTCGTGAAGACTTGAGGAGACTTTGAGTGCTCTAAGCAGCTTGCTTTGTGACTATTTAGGCTACTATATTTGGGTCCGCTATGTTAACGTGTTGGGGTGTCTGGTTGATTTCGGCACTGTAGTCACAAGGGTTGGAGCTTGAGCACAACAGATGTCCACAGGCTCCAGCCGGGCTTGCGTTCAAACCCTACTGTAGTTTGTGGTTTAGGGTTCAGGGGTTGTTTCTGGCTTAAAGTAAATCAGGACCCACACCACCACCTTTGATGAATACAGAAGTTGGGGATTGCGGTCTCAGATAGGATTTTAAGGATCGGAGGTTCAACCCGGACATGATCCGGTGCTCACACCTGAAGCGTAGAGCCAGAGCCACAAAGCCCTATCAGAACCAAAACCCTATATACGTAGTGGAAGTCAGAAAGTTGGACCATGGCTTTTATAGGAGGATTAGTGCTAGGATCCCTTATACCTTACCTTAAGGCCATAAGGATAATGATGTTCCAACTTTCTGGCTTCTACTATAGCTCAATAAGGGCACGAAACACCGATCTAAAGCTCTAACAGTCTATAAGCCTTGAAGCCCTAAAATCCTACTCCCACATACTAGGTATTTGCCAACGTCTGCTTTTAGGGCTCCTTTTGACGACCTGATGAATCATAGCATATCCGAACCCCTGTTATAATCATCCAAGCTCCGGCATTAGACTTCCACGCCAGGTTGCAGTTCGACAAGAACCTGATGGACGCGACTCCACTGCAGTTCATGTCGAACCCGATTGAGGGTTTAGGGTTTAGGGTTTAGGGTTTGGGGTTTAGGGTTTAGGGTTTAGGGTTTGGGGATGAGGGAGTTCAGCGACTGCCTGAGTTTCCGTCGTGAAGGATGCCGAGTGTATATGTGGTGTGTCATCCAGAGAATGCTAGCATGCTAACATAGCAAGAGCCCTAGCCTAGGCTTGATTTGAACCGTTGAGCCCAACGCCACTGCATGAACTCCTAGGTATCTCATTTTTAGGTATGCCTTAATGCCCGGCACAGTGAGTGCAATCAGGAAGTCACAGGGACTATAGGTGCAGAGACCCTGTCCAACCCAACAGGGCAGGGACACATGTGACTCCCGCAAGCGATCTGGATGGTGATCCCGGCGATGATGGTGGTGGTCGTCATGATGATGATAATCCCTAAACCCTAAACCCTAAACCGGCAATGAAGAGCATGATTAAGTTTGATTTGTGTTGATGATGGCCAGCTTCAGTGGCTGTGGCCACAGTCTGCGGTGACGGAGATGATGATACATTGGGTACCGCCCCCACTCAGCAATAGTTGAATAATATTCATAGTATGGATATATTCGGACCATAATCGTGGCCCTATTTTAGACTCTTACTGCATGGGGGCAGTACCTAAATGATACATGATGCTTTGATCTACAAGCCCCTTGATGGTAAGCACGACTTTCCTGCCCTTTCTGAGTTCCTTGAGCTTCCCAAATTGTGCAGCTTTCTAAACCCCTCCTGTGGCAGTTTATATAAAGGTTAAGATTGATTGGTCCGCGTCAGCTGGGGTTCGCTGCTCGACGGTGGCGCTTCAGGGAACACATCAGCGAATGCCAAAAAATGCCGACATGCTAGATGTTCCACAGCGTGTGTTAGCAATGCGATAGCTTCCCCAAGTATCATCTTTTGGAACAGCATGAAAGAAGGGTATTGAACACCGCACAATTGACAACATGCAAGAAGCCCTACTGTAGGTCCGTTATTGGGGGTAGCATGTTGCAGTTTAGGGATTTAGGTTTCGGGGTTTGTGCTTCTGCGCCCAAGGCCATGTTCACACCCCGCAGTCGCGGACTTGGCTTCGGATAGCTCCGGGTTTTTCTTTGTTCTCCGTGGTTTAGCAGTTTAGGGTTTAGGGTTTGCAGTTTAGG